GAAAAGCGTCCTACAAAATGATCCTATGATAATTTTCTTTTTGCATTGTGCCTTAAACAGCTGCGATTTGATCACTAATTCTTCCATCCGACTGCTACGCATATCCTTGTAAATTACAAAATTACATGTTTTTGGAGAAAGTAGCATCAAATAATTCTTGTTTTCTAAAACAATATTCCAAACTTCATGGAAAAATCTAATTTGTGATATGTAACCTTTAACAGTTTGAAGATGCAGCCAAAGAAATGGCAGATGAGGTGACTAAGCCACGACCTTTAGGAGAAGAGGAAGTACAAGATATTCAGATCACTCTCAAATCTGAAGCAAACCCCATGAGTGTCAGGGAACTGCGAGTATGCTGTTGAATTTTGTTGGCTATAATTTGTTCCCATTCTTTAATGTACAGGCTTATTGATTCCTTAACACAAAGCTTCTGGGACCTAATGATCATTAGGTGCCTAAAGAACTAATGCCTAAAGAACTAATGATCTAAGCAAGCTACATGAAGCATACCATTCTAAACTGGCCTTGTTTTGGCATTATTACTAATGTGTTGTTTGATGTATTTTCAGTCAGAGCAAATGGCAAAATTGGTGAAGATTCCAGGCATTATCATCAGTGCTTCTGCCATTCGTGCATAGGCAACTAACATAACTATCCAGTGCCATTCTTGTCGTAACACCATCTCCAACATTCCTCTAAAGCCAGGTCTCGAAGGATATGCAATGCCTCGTAAATGCCCAAGGTATGGTCTGTCTCTCTCATGGTCTGTCTCTCTCATCTTAAGCCTAGTGAAGATTTTTTTCATTTGAGAAGGGGGGTCCTTCACCGGCAACTTTAGGAGTTTCAGAATTTAGGAGTTTGAGATATTTTGATTTTTGGAATTTAGAATTAAAGAGTGTACGAATTTAGATGCATGCCATCCTTTTATTTTTCTTTTTTCTTTCTCTCATTACAAATAATAGGAGGGGGGGCAAATGAAACTTAGGATCCTATCCCTTGGGTAAACTCTGGTTCATACGAGCTTGTCAATGGAATATATATTTATCCCACTGGAGATCCCCTCTCAGATTTATGTAAAGACATTTGTGACCTCTCACGCGAAAACGTACACTAACGGCTATCCGTTCGAAGGCGTTTTGCCGTTCACCAGCCGTTCAAAAAAATTTCCATCCGTTCGCACGGCCAGGGTTATCCGTTCAAAAAAAACTTGCATCCGTTCGCACGGCTTGTGTTATCCGTTCAAAAAAATTTGCATCCGTTCCCGCGGCTTGGGTTATCCGTTCAAAAAAAACTTGCATCCGTTCGCACGGCTTGTGTTATCCGTTCAAAAAAAAA